CATTAGGTTGGCGGTTGTGTTTTCCCTCTCTGACGCTCCAGCACCTGCATCACAGGGCTTTTCCAGATGGATTCACAGGCTGGGCTGGAAAACACCTGCTCAGCCCCACGAAACTGGAGACATCCCTGCCTGTTCCCAGCAGGGCCCGAGGCAGGGGCTGCTGCCGTGGGAAGAGGGCAGGTTAGAGCAAAGGAGACGATTGGCAAAGGGCAGGGACTGCTGGCATTGGTTCCTGACATCAGAGTGGAGCTGCCTGGGATTTCAGCAGGGCTTCACAAGGCCGTGTGTGTGCTGGTGAAAGGCAAGCCCCTGCCCTGGTGGCCCTGCAGGTCCCTGGTAGCCCAGGTCCTTTTGCAGGTGGGCAAAGAGTTTTGACTCGTGGAGCAGGGATGTGAAGTTGGGGGGAAGGAACAGATTTGGGGTCCTCTCTTCCAAGAGATGCCCTTCCAATCCCCTGGTGTGCCACGCCAGAGAGTCCTCATCTCTGTTTTGTCCCTGCACTCCTCTTTGCAGCTTCTTGTCCCACCCAAGGCAAGAAGCCCCCTGCAGAGGGGTGGCAAAGGTTTGTTCTCCTCATTTTGCACCTTCCCAAGCAGAACTGATGGGCCCAACTCGCAGCATTATCTCCTGCTCTGACACCAGGAGCCACCATCTGAGGTGACTTAGAGGGACATCATGGGAGCAGCCCAGCCAAGCTCACCCAGCTGGAACAGGGTGGTAGGGCTGGGCTGTCCCCATGGAACACCATCCCTGCGTGGCTCCTGAGGGCCACAGGAAAGCTGCTGCAGGGCAAGGGACACCCAGGCTCTTAGAGAAGAAAAAATTGGCACATGGAGTGGGACCAAGTAAAAATAAACCTTCCCTCCTCCCGCCCTGCCACAATGCACAGCGCCTTGCGCCGGGTGTCTCCCTGCCTCCCAAAATAATGCCGGGTGCTGCCACCACCCCACGTGGTGATGCTCTCTCCATGCCTCCCGTTTCCATGGTGACCACAAGGAATGTCGCCAGGGTGACAAGGAGGCAAGTGAGCTGGGATTTGATACTAAAAATGAGATTTTGGGGTTGTTGGGTTTATTTTTCTCCCCCCCCACCCCTCCTCCTTTGGTTCTATTTTTGGGGTTTCCCTCTGTGCCTCTGCTGGTCTGGAAGGCTCCTCCTGCAGAGCCCCCGGGCCAGGCAGCAGCAGCTTCAGCCAGGGCCCTTCTCCACCTCTGCCTGTGAGGTGACGGCTATGGGATGAGAAGGGGGACAAAGGCCATTTCCTTATCACTAAAACATTTGTTTCCTTCTATCAGGAAGGCTTTTCTGCTTTTCCCCCTGGTGGTTCTCCAGGTGTCTCCCTCCATTTCTGCTGCAGGATGTAGCTCAGGCCTCCTGGGAGAGTGGGCAGCCTCAGGGGTTTGTCTAGGAGAGGGAAACGATTCTGCCTTCCCCGAGGGGCTGGGGAACACCGTGGGGCTGAGCACCATGGGTCACCTCTGTGTGTCACCATCTCTGCCCCATGACCAGGTCAGGTTGGCTGGGCAGCTCTGGAACACCGGGGACAGAGATGGGATGGCTGGTAGAAGGTCACAGAGGGAGCATGGCAGGTGCTAAGGAGCCCAAAACTTTGTTCTCTGGTTTAAACTCCCAAAATCAGAACTGCTCAGCACAGAGAGGGCTTGAGGGTTCGTGCTGGCTCAGCTGGTGTCACAGCAGTGCAGGACCATGGGTGTCCAAGTAGGGGCTGCTGGCACAGAGGCAGCTCTCTTCATGCCCAGGCAGGAGAAGGGGCAGGCAGCGTTTGCTCACCTTCCCAGGAGCTCTTGCTTTCCACTGCACCCATCTCTCCATCTGTCTCCAGCCATCCCTCTCTCCCTCTTTCTCTCTATCCATTCTTCCCTCCATCTTTTCCATTCTTCCTCCATCTTCACTCCACCCCTCACTCATCCTCTCTCCATTCATCCCTCCAAAGATTCCTCTGTCCATCTCTATGACTCTTTCCCTCCTTTCATCCACCCCTTTATCCATGCCTCGTTCCAGTGTTCCATGCCTCCATCCCTCTGCCTCCCTCAATCCCCACAGCGGCACTGGGAAAGGTTGGCGGAGTGGGGCTATTTTTGGGAGTGTCTCCCTGGCAACGGCTGCCACCACCGTCTGTGGTGGCTTTTACATAGGTGCTAAAATATTCCACGCTTCTTATTAAAGACGGTGCTGCTGGAGACGGGCGGGGGCGGCGAGTGTGAGCCACCCCGCTGCTGGGGCCGGCGGCCATGGGGCGGTCAGGGCACGGCCCCGGGGGCACAAGGACAGCCAGGGGCTGCTGACACCCTCCCTGCGCCGTCCCCACGCCCCTCTCGCTGGCTCTGGAAGTGCCACCTGTCTCCTGGCGGTGCCACACCGTGCACAAGGTGCAGCTATCCCTCCTCCTGCACAGGGAAATGTGGCGAGGCCTTGGGGGAGCCAGCAGAGAGGAGCAAAAGGCAGAGAGGGTGAAAGCCCACCTGAAGCTGAGGTGGCCACAGGGCTGCACGTGATGGCTTTGCCCGCTGTGGGATGGAGCAAGGTGTGTCAGCCCCATCTTCATCCCTCCACCACCACATGGAGAGGAGAAGCCTGTCGTGGTGCCAGAGGGATGGGACGCTCTGCCAAAGAGCAGCTGGGCAGACACTGGGCAGTGGCTCTTGGGAAGCAGCCCCACAACAGGCCCTAGAGACAGAGCTTTTGGGAAAGCAAGTATCCCTCTGAATGAGGTCCTCGTAGGGATGGCTGCAGAGGGGATGGACAGGCTGGCCCTGCTCCATCCAGGTGCTGCAGGGAGCAGCCAGGGGTGCCCTGGGGTGAACTGACCCATGCAGGAGGCTGATGAGCTCCTGGTTTGCAGCTGCTCACCTGCATGGAGCCACTAAACCCAGCCCAGCACCCCCTGCTGCCCTGGCAGTGGCTTTGCCAGGTGGGAGCAGGCTGTGCTCACCACGGCGGGGTTCACTGGTGCAGGTGGGGCAAAGCAGGCTCCACAGCATGTTGTGCAGGGGTCACCCCATGGGCCACACCTTGGGAGGATTCTGGGAGGGAGGGTCATGGTCCTTGCAGGATTGGGGCCCCCAGGAGATTTTTTAGAAGGGGTTTTTTAATATTCTTTGACTTTTCAGCACAGGCCTTAACCCTGGGGACAGCAAACGAGACACCAAGAGGGAAACCATGTCCCCAAAAACGCTGTCCTGGAGCAGGGCTGTCCCCAGGACCCTGTGCCTGCAGCCACTGCCTGTGCAGTCAGGGGCCTCTTCAGCCTCTCTTTGTGCAGCAGAGTCCCCTGCCTTCTCTCCCTGTCACCAAGAAGTGACCTTTTTAAAGCCTCTGAGGTGCTGCTGGCCATGGAGACCCAAAAGAGATTTCTTGGACAGGTTTCCCAGCAGGAGGGCTGTGCACTGTCCTGGAGCCCCGAGGGCTGGTCCCTCGTGTCCAGCCGCTGTCCCGGGATTGCTCATCCCGGCAGGAAATCTCCTGCTCTGTAGAGCGGGGAGGCAATGCCCCACAGCAAACCCTCCGGACCAGCTGGGAGAGCCTGCTCCTTCCTCAGGGCGAGGTGCCAGCCCAGCACCCCAAATCCAGGTGGGAAAACCCGTCTGCCGGTGGTTATTTAATCTCCGTGCAGCAGCCCAGGAGGAGGATTCACCTCCCGGGGGCACCGGGCGGCCCCTCCATCCCTTTCCCGCTGCCGATGGCTGCTCTGTCTCCCCCACGGCGGCTCCGCAGCTCTGAGCTCACATGCGAGGATGGGCTAAAGTAGCGGAAAGCTGTTGGATCCTACCACGGAGTTACTGACTTCTCAGCTACAGACTGCATAGCAATCAGCGAGGGGGAGAGGCAGCCAGCGAAAGGGAGGGAGCGCCGAGGGAGGCAGGGAGTCAGGGAGAGGGGGGATCTGGGGACTAGAGCAGGGGGGCAGCAAGGGGCAAGGGAAAACAATGCCAGAGAAGGAGGGAGCCGGGCAGGAGGGGGAGACCTAAACCCGTCGCTGAGCCACGAAGGCACATCAGCACTCCGTGGGATGGACGCTCCTGGGAGCAAAAAATTCTGAGAGGCAGAGGCAGAAGGAGAGCGCTGGCGTGGGCAGGGCAGAGTTGGGAGAGGAGCAGGTCGCAGCGGAGAAGTAGCTCTTCGGAGGGGAAAAAAATAAACCTAGGCTGGAGGCGAGCGAGGACTGCAGGGAGAATTCCCCGATTCCTGCGGTCCGGCTGAGGCGGCTCATGGTGAGATGGAGAGCGCGGCCGCTCCCCGCCGCCTCTGATGCTGCTGGGCACGGCTGGAGCAGGCGGCAGCCCTCGGCAGGACCCGGGTAAGAGGCGGCGCCGGGCGCGCTGCTCTCCTCGCCGGCAGGAGAGCGGCAAGGGCTTTTCTCCCTTAGCGAAATAATGCATTGTTTCATTCGCGTTCGCTCCGAGGAGCGGCTATAAATATAACTTAGGGAGAGATGCGTGGCTTCGTGCGAGCGTGCCAGTGAATAATAAAGTTGCCTTGTGTGCATGGCGTATGCACGCACAGCTCCCGCGGGCCGAGGGGCAGGGGTGGGCTCCTGCCTCTAAACCTCCCCAACTTCCCTCCCCGCCCCCTTGCCACCCTGACTTCGGCCCCTTTGCAGGTAACTTCTTCATTTTTGCAGTTTTCGTAGTGTCTCCTAGCCCCGGGCTGGGTCTTGCTCACCTTTTGCTTCTCCTGCTCTGTGGGTTCTTCTCTGTGCTGGCCCCGGCCGGTTCACACAGAAAAAGGCAGCGGGAGGCCTGCTCTGCAGGCTCGCAGGTGCCAATGGGGCTGAAGTGGATGTGTTTGTTCTCCTGTGGAGCTTTTCGGGCTCCAGATCTGCCCCCCTTTCCCTTGCCTTCCACCTCTCCTAGCCCCAGCATGGCTGATCCTGCCACTGGTGCTCCAACACCCCCCAAGACAGGCACGGTGCAAAGGGTCTTCTGGACAGTGGCTTTGGGTGAAGGAGATCAGGAGGAAGCCACGGGGAAGCTGCCAGAGAAACTCTGCCTTTGCTCCCTGTGGGCGAGGTCAGCTTCCCCAGCGGGCAGGGATGGGCAGGCAGGTCTGCATGGTGCTGGCAGATCACCTCGGACATCCCTGGCCCTTCAGCCCCCTCCCCCCTGGGCAAACAGCCTGGAGCCATCCAAATCCTTCTGGCAAGAGCCTGGAGTGCCCTATCCCTGCTGCCCAGCCCTGACTCCATCGATGGCAAAGCAAAGAGCAGCTCTGGGACCTCTCCCTTCTCCCCTTCTCCCCCTGGGGGTGTGCTGGGAAGGGCAGATGGTGACGGTGTGCACGGGAACAGAGGGGACGTGGCTCCAGGGCTGCCTTCAGCCCCTGCTCCGTGCCCTCCCTGGCTTCTTGGGAGGAGCCATCCCCAAGGGATGGGAGGTGTGGATGAGCCCAGGGCTTGGGGTTACCTGGAGCCTGGGAGCCATCAGGCAGGTGCATGGGGAATACATCTTGGCAGAGACAAGGGAATGTGTCCCTTCTCCATTCACCACCAGAAGGGACACCCACAGAGACACCCTGGCAGTGTGTGGCCACTCCTGTTTGCAGACACTGGAAATAATAATTGATACAGGGCAAATATCTGCCTTAGGGGAAGCATGAATCTGCTGTGGACAGGGAGTGGTGGGGAAGAGGACAAATGGTGAGGATGGCCACAGAGGGGATAAACTGGAGAGGGCTGATCTGGAGGCAAGCAGATTCCCTCTCCTCCACCTTTTTTTTCCTTCCATCTCTCCCTGTTCAGGTGCTCAGATCAAGTGCCCCGACGCGTGGTGCTGGCAGGAGGGCAGGCAGTGGTCCTTGTCCCTTCCAGCCCCCAACCATGGTTTGCAATGAAAACCAGAAAGCCGGGAGGTGGCCGGGGAGGGATGGAATTACCTGGCAGGACCAGTTCCCACCGACCCCTCCAGCCTCTTGGCCACCCCAGGCCCAGCCATCGGCCACACCCGGGAAGCAGCTGCATCCCTGGGCTGGTGACAGTGACAGGAGGTGCCAGCAAGGGGGAGGAGGGCACGGTGGTGGGCACCTGTGCCCGCGGCGTGGTGCCATCAGTGGAGCAGTGAGTGCCCTGTGCCTCAGCCAGCCCCATCCCCCTGTCCCTGCAGTGGGCCCGCCATCCATCGATGGATGCTGGCGTCTCAGCCATCGATCCCCGCTCACCCGCGCGGCTCCCGGCCTCCGCTGCCGCTCGTTTTTCCGTGAATGGCACGGGCTGAGTGGGGCGTCTGCGGAACCGAGTCAGGCCAAGCCCCTGCTCCTTGACAGCGCTGCTGCTGTGCCCCTCAGCAGGGCCGAGAGGCCTCACAGGAGCCCCCAGAGGCGCCGGCAGCCGTTTTCCTCACCAGACAAGGTGGTTTTGGTGGTGATGGTTGGGATTGGAGCCCCTTCTTGGGGCTTGGGACAGGCAAGGGCTGCTTTTGAGCTGGTTCTGGCCCTCAGACCTCTGAGGCTCAGCAGTGAAGGTGGTGCCTGGCACAGGCTGCTGAGGGATGGGAGTTGGCTGCAACGTGACCCTGTTCCTGTGGCCTCAGAGATCCAGGCACCTCCATGCCTGTCCTCCTGGGAGCCTGGCAGCAGGCAGCTTGCTTCAGGGACACTTCTGGCATTCACCCATGGTTTACCTGGGGAGGAGATGCCCACCATCGCCTGGCACCGGCCATGCTGGCACAGCAGCACCACTGTTGCCCTCACTGGGGACCAGAGCCTGGAGAACAAGGTGCTCTCCAGCCCGGCACCTCCCCACGCTGCCAGCCAGGGGCTCCTGCCGCCGCTCTGCCCACACCCTGCCACCGTGGCAGTGGGTCTGCCCCTCACAATCTGGACGGCTGTTTTATTTCTATGGCAACATTTCTCCCGAAACACTTCAGAGGGAGCCTGGTGCTGTTTGATAATGAGGGAAGCAGCGTCCCCCATTCTGTCCCCTGCAAAAGGCTCGGAGAAACGACCCTGACACATCTCCCCACCTCCTTCCCTCCCCGGCAAGCGGTACCAGCGTTGGTACAAAGAGCTGCTGGCCTTGTCCCAGCTGCCTCTCTGCTGCCTGCTCTCCTTTCCCCTGCCTTCAGCCGGGCTCTCCCCGCTCCCTTCCTGCTGGCAGCGAGCACAAGCACCCGCGCAGACTGCCCAGCTGAAAGGAGCCAGAGCAGGTGGATGTGGAAAGCGCCTGTGCCCCAGAGGAGGGCAAAGCCCGGGAGAGCTGCGCGGATCGGCCCCGCCGGTGAGCGCGGGGCTGAAGGGCACCGGGCACCCCCGAGCCGGGCACACAGGCGCTTCACCCTCTGAAAAGCTCGATGGCACCGTGAAGAGGCGGTGCCTGCCGCGGGACCTGGCACAGCGGCCTCAGAACTCCTCTCCTCTCCTGTTCGCGCTGCTCCCAGCACCGAGAGAGAGCCTCGTGTCTGGGCGGAGGGGAGCGGGCAGGAGCCGCGGGCAGCGCCACAGGCGACAGGCAGGTGAGCAGGCAGGATCCCGCGGAGAGCAGGGGGGGATTTGGCACTCCTGGCGCTGTGCAGGACCCGCCGTGTCCCGCTGTGCCCAGCCCGACTGCCGCGATGGCAGCCCCTCCCTGCCCGAGAGCCGGGGCAAGGAGCGGGCAGTGCTCCTCCGTGCTGGGTGAGCCGGGCACCGCTTGGGCTTCACTCCTTCCAGAGGTGCTTGTTAAACCGCGGGTCAAGCCGCAGCAATACAAGTCTGCAAACCTGTGGGGAAATACTTGATCCCCTCTCTGCGGGAATGCGGCTTTCAGCTTACCTGGGATGCTCCCTCTGCTCTGTTTCTGGCGCCCCAGCACGGTGAAAGGGGAGCAGCTGGGGCCCTTCCAGGAGGCTCGTGGCTCTGCTCAGCTCCCTGTTAGCCTAGCGACAGGGGGGGGTGAAGGAAGGTTTTTTTTCCCCTGTCGCTGATGGGGTAGTGCTTAGCAGCCAGGCCAGGCTGGGAACTCGGCTGGGTGCAGAGAAGTGGCTGCAGCCTCTCGATCAGGGGCTCGGTACAGAGCAGGCTTTGCCCTGGTTATTGCTCCCCTTGCTGCTGTCGCTGCTGTTATCATCATTCATAAACTATTTGCAGGCACCTGTCTTGCTGCGTGCTTGGCAGAGTCACTAGCAGTCCATCCCTGCCCTGTCAAGACCACAACTGCAGCAGGCAGGCAGATGATGCAAGCCACTCTTAGCCCCCTTTTCCTGCACTCTGGTAATTATCCTTGTCCCCTGAGTAGCCAAAAGCCATCAAGACATCCCACATGACCAGGCACTTTGTGCTTTAGAGATGGTGAAGGGATGCTGCTGGGAATGGCCTTACATCAGGGCTCCACGGGGCAGGATGCCCAGTGAAGGGAGTTCCAGGGATGTGGAGATTAGTGAAGACACCCTTTGCACTCTGCAGTTGTGCTAGGAAGCTGGAGGAGGTGACCTGGGTGCACTGTATCTGCTTGGGATGTGAGGACCTCAGGGACAGTCCAGAGCCTTCAGTTTCTCAGCTCTTGCAGGTTTTGCACCCACCTTTTCGGGGTCTAGTCCACGGTTTTGGCGGCAGGGTGCTGGGGGTATGCCAGCCCCCGTGTTTCCTCAGGAGCAGGTGGGATGCAGTCTGCACCCTGGCTGCTACAAAAGCTCAGTTCCTTTTTGGCCAAGAACACCACCCCAGGAAGGCCAGGGACCTTCTGAGCATTTAATTTTTCCCGTGATGCCAGCTATAGAGAATAACACCCACCTTCCTCACTCAGCAAGAAAAAGCAGGGGCTTCTCCCCAGCTGCCACTCCAGCAGCACCCTCTCCTTACAACCCTGCCCAGTCCACCCCCAGCCCCATTTTGGCCAGAGAGGAGTGGGTGAATGCCGGTGCCAGCCCCAGCAGCCCCACCGCGGGGTATCCCGCAGTCAGTCTGAGATCCTGCGGAGTAGGCAGCTCCTCTCGCAGCGCCATTGTCTGGACGGTGCAGCCGCAGCAGGGATCGCTGGGGCGGTGTGGGAGCGGGCGGGAGGTGATGCTGTCACCTTTCTGTGCCTCTCCCTGACTTTGTCATCCCGGGCACCTTTGTGTAGTTCCCATTTTTATCTGTTTTTTCTCCCTCTCACTCTTTCTCTCCTTCTCTCTTCGCTTTTTTCTCTCCCCCTCCCATCAGCATGTGGGCTGATCACTGCTCAAACTTTTAATTCAGATGGTAATTGGAATAATAATACGGGCAGAATCCTTCTGGCTCCGTTGCTGCAGCTGGCTTCAGGGAGCTATGAATAGCTCTGAGTCACACACTGAGATGGTTTAACTTCAAATCATTTTGTTTTGTTTTCATATTACCCATCCTCAGGCTCCAGAGCTTCACAGGGGGAAAAAATATCCCCCCTTCTCACTCCACTCCAAAATATAAACCGGGCAGAGGCACATGAATAAAATCCTCTTTTGGAGAGGGAAACTGGTCAGCGGATCACGCCTTGAGGGGCAGATGGGGACTGTTGGCACCTGATCTATTTATAATTATTGAACGAAAAGGCAGAAGTGTGTATATAAAAATGGTATCGAGTTGATTACAGCTTCCTCCCCTCACCTTCCATATGTCAGTTGCCTTTTTAATATGGTAAAACTCTCCTGCACGGTGGCTGTGCCCGTACAGCGCCTGGCAGCCTGCCCTGCCGGCACGGAGCAGCGAGAGCTCGGCCGCTGCCTCCTGTGCAGGACAGACCCCTCGGCACAGAGCTGCCTGCACCAACCCTGGGGATATCCGTGAGGAACAGGAGGAGAGACGGAGTTACAAAGGGGATGGAGAGGACGCACTGAACGCTGCGGGTCTGCAAGGCTCTGCAAAAAGGCAGAGAGGTCCCTGCTCAGCTTTTCCTCAGTGTTTCCGCCCTGACTCCCCGAGAGGCGAGAAGTTCGTCTGCCGTGCTGTCACCGTGCCCGAGCTGGCAGGCTGCTGGATGCTGATCCCAGGCAGCCGGTAACGGGGACAAAGGCACAAAGCAGAGCCACCAGCGGCTGCGGCATTGACCACAGACAGGAGAGAAGCATTTGCCAGACAACTCCAGATAAAGCAAAGACTAAGAGTGTAAAAATACCCTGGGATTTTTCCATCGTTGTCGCTCACAGTGTATGTCCCAGAGCACCAGATACGGTTGTTATAAAAAGAGAAGTGGGGGAGTGCTGTAGCGTGGACTTTTCTGTTCTGTTTCATGAGACTCTTCCATTGCAAATTTAAGGAAGGATTGACAATATATGATCTACTCTGGCAGGGGCTGGAGAAAGACTGGGAGTGCGAGGCACTGCACCGTGTACAGAGGATGGAGCAAGGGAGGCACTGCCCTGGCACCAGCACCTTGACCTTATTATCCTGCAGATCCCTTGGAAAGGGACAGCAGCAGCGCAGCCCCACGTGCCTCTCAGGGCCAGAGCAGAACTGGGGTGGCAGCGTGGGCTGGTGTGATGGCTTGTGCTGCTGGAGCACGGTGTCACACGGGAAGGAGGAGATGACTGCAGCACCGCGGTGGTGTCCCTGGCATTGCTCAGTCTAAGCCACAGGAGGGGGAAAGTGCTTGGGAAGGAGGGGAGGGTAGCACAGGATTGGGGCTGGAAGCAGCTGCTGGGCCCTGGAGACCCATCTGGCTGGCTGCTTCAATGCTGCAAGGCAGGGGCTGTGACACCCATGCTGGCTGCAGCAGCTTTCAAAAATGCTGGGGGGCTTCTGCAGGCCATAAATTCATGGGTGTTCCTGTACACCCAGGACAGGCAGCACAGGGATGGGGAGGCTTCTGTCCAGGCTGCAGCCTCCTGCCTAGCCGCTCTCCTTGCTGCACCCACCAGCTTGGTTTCAGAGCACTCCACAGGATTGCCACTGACTCTGCAGCTTCCTGCTTCACATGTGGGTCTCAGGAGGCAGAGCAAGCTCCAAGAAATGCCCTCAGGCATGCTCTGGATTTGTGTCTCTGTCCTCAGCCAGGCTTTCCTCCCCCTTGTCCATGTGACAGGCTGTTCAGGATATGAATATAATCCCCTTCTGCTGGAGACACCTCTGAGCCTTCCCCTTTCATTCCCTTTTTGTTTCAGGTTTCCAAGTTGCAATGGGACGTTTTTGCAGCCATTTGAACCATGTTTGCACAGGGTTTGGGCTCCTGGTAAGCCCCCAGTCCTTGCCAAGCTGGTGGCATCGATTTTGGCAGCAGGGGATGTCAGTGGTGACCCTGGCTGCTGAGGAGGGACAGTGACCCAAAGTGGCAGCAGTCCCCAGCCCAGGCATTTCTTGCCTGCCTGTCTGTCCTTCCCATGGCGGCACCACGCGCTGTGGGGGTGTGTTGGGGTGGAAGTGGGAATCGTGTTTATTTTTGTTCGTCTCCTGGCTCGTGCCGCTCTGAGTTTGTGGCACTTGGTATTACTAACACTTCCCTGTGCCAGCTGGCAGCAGGGATGAATCAGATTGGCAGCACCACAGCGTGGACCCTCCACTGGCCGCTCAGCTTAGAGCCATGCCGAAGCTGCTGGCCAAAGTGCTGGTGACATCTCCTGCCCCTGTCCAGGGTGAGCCCCAGCCAGGTGCCAGTGGCTTGACCTTGCTGGTGGAGATGTCTCAGCACGCTGTGGGACAGGGCTGTCCCCTCTGAGCCATGCTGCCTGCCTGGGCTGGATCGTCCCTGTCCCTCCTTTATCATGAGCTGCTCTCTGCTCACCGGCAGCATCCCCCAGCTGGGGTCAGCCTTACACCTGCAGGACAGCTTATCCTCACGCTGCCAAAACCACCTTTAGCAGCTGTTGTGGTTTAACCCCAGCAGGCAGCTTAAGTATCAATCAGCCCCTCTCTCCCTCTCAGTGCCCCCAGCCACAGTGGGCAGGGGAATCGAAAAGAAAAGGTCAACTTTGTGGCTTGAAATAACAACAATTTAATCATTGAAACAAAATATAACAATAATACATATGTTAATGATATTGTTATTATTATTATTAATAATAATAGAAATAGTAATAATAATAATATAAATAGTAATCTAATAAACACCGAGAGAGAGAATAACAGGACCCAAGAGAAACAAGTGGTGCACAACCCCATTACTCACCACCCAATGACTGATGCCCAGCGTGTCCCCAGGCATTCATCAGCCCCTTCCAGTTAAAACCCCCAGTTATATTCTGGGCAGGGTGTTCTGTGGCATAGACTATCCCTTTGGCTAGTTTGGACCAGCTGTTCTGGCCATCCTCCCTCCTGGATTCCTGTGCAGCTCCTCAGTGGCAGACCATGGGCAGCAGAAAAGTCCTTGTCTTGGAGTAAGCCACTAAACAACAACTCCAACAAGTCTGTGTTATCAGCCAGCACTGTGCTGGCTACTACGAAGAAAATTAACGCAGTCCTAGACAGAATCAGGACAGCAGTTGATTGCTTCCTCCCCCTCCCCTGCTTCTGACAACTCAGCACATGGAGCTCGATGACATCACAGACCTTGGAATGTTGGTGGTTCCAGTTGTCCCCAGAGCCAAGATGCAGAGGTATGTGTCTCTGCTGAACATTCCGGTGTTCTAAACAGAGGGATTTGGGTGGCCACAACAAGCATTGCTGAGGCTGCAGAAGGCAGCACGCTGCTTGTCAGTGTCAACAGCCTGTATGGCCTGCACTCCAGGAACACAGTTTGGATACTCCTGCTTACTGCAGCTGAGAGCATCCTGAAAAATGTCACGGCCAGCTCGCATCTTTGGGCTAATGATGATGGTCTACCCAGAATCTCAAGGCTTGCTAGGTGATGCCAACGATGGTGGTGATGATAACAGTGAAGAATCAGGGAATTCCCGCCCTTCTGACCCTCTTCCACCCTCGTGCAAGAGCAGTAACAGCACAGATGAAAATAAGACAGAGAATCTGGAAGAACCCAAATCTCCCCCAACTCCTGAAGACTCTTACATGGTGAAAGAGAAACAGGTGGGGTTGTCCAAGCATGAGCTTGAGAAGGAAGATCGGGAGTTTCAGGAACCATTTTACAAAGACATGAGAACGTCCGACAGCTTGGCTGGAGATGAGAAGCCCAGCCCGACCTACCACCTTCCTGGGCACCTGACGTTGCCTGCCCCCCAAAAGGCTGGTACAGCACCAAGTGGCTTCCATGACCCTCTCCAGCACAGCTCAGGCCAGCACTTGGGGACAGAGGCCGCTGGCACGCAGGCCCATGCCAGTGCCCATTACGTGGGGCTGCCAGAGAGCAGCACGGGAGCGGAGCCCCACGTGCTGCGCGGGGAGGGCGGCGAGGACAGCAAGGACAGAGAGCCCCGGCCCCTGCGGCCCACCTACGACTCCCTGTGGCAGGAGAACAACATCCTCAGGTCAGAGTACGGAATGCTCAGGAATGCGAACGTCGTGCTCGAGGCGGAGAATTTCACACTCAGGCAGGCGTTCAAACAGCTCAAGAAGGACAGGGCTGTGGTCATGGGGCAGGACGTCGTGCTCAGGGAGGAGTACAACATGCTCAGGGAACAGTATGACAGGCTCCAGGGAGAGAATGCTGCACTCAGGAAGGACAACGCCATGGCCGGGAGAATGTTTAACAACTTCCAGAACAACTTGAAGAGACAGGCGTGCGTGGTGGCGAGCCTGAAGGATCAGCTGAAGATCAGCCAGGCTGAACGAGAGAGGGAAGCCCAGGAGCTCCAGTCCTTAGTCCGGCAGACTGAGTGTTATCTTCAGCTCACAACCCAGCGCGCTCTGAATGCCGAAACAAACGTGGAGAGGCTGAAGCAGCAGATCTTTATGCTCCAAGGACAGCTGGAGAGATGCAAGCTGGAGAATGAAAAGCTGAGAACAGACTGGCCTGGAAGCACTGAAGCACAACTTGGACTTCACCAGGCAAAACTCCCACAAGCTCCTAATGGGCAATGATGCCTCCCTCAGGCAGTTCCTGCCTCAGAAATTCTGCCCATTGTTACTGAGGTCCTTGAATCCACCAGAAAAATTCCCAAATTTTAAGCAGAGAAAGATCTATGAGTGCAGTTCTGCGTGAGTTCCATGGATCCGTGCATGGTCCGAGGCCATCGTTCTCTCACTTGTAACCATTCACTGCAAATAAAAGCATTTACTTTCCCACTCTCAAATGTGTGTGCTCGGACTGGTAGCCTTCGTCCTTTGTGGGAATACTTTCCTTGTGATTAAGTACCAGTGCAGGTAGTGGTGTGGTTTTAGCTGCTGATACTCTGTTTGGGCACTCTGGCTGCCCAGGCTCTGAGCTGCATGGTCCAGCCATGGTGGACTCTGCCACAGCTCCGGCTGACATGAGCTTCCACGTGGAAGCCAGGAGGAAACACAGCACCACAGGATGCAGTGCTCTTACACAGTGTGCTCATCCCATCCCATAGCTGTACCAGCCTGAACTGGAGATAAACCAAGCCCTTGTATTTCATCTGCTTCCTTTGCCCCTTCTTGGGAAGGGGGGAAAGGTGAGGAGCAGACCTCCAGATGTTGCTGCACACATTTTCACAAAGCCTTAGGTCCTCCTTCCTTTCCTTTGGAGCTGGCTGCTGCCTGGGCCAGAAATCCAAAATCGCTAGAGATGGTTCATCTGTTTTTGCAGCTGCAGAAAGAGAGTCATCGGTTGTAGAAACTTTCAGGATATTGTGAGTTACTCATATGTGTGAGCTGTGGCAGGGCCTTCCTGTGTTATCGGGTCAGCGCTGGCTAAGGATGAGCTTGGCATATCCAGGCTGGCTGAGAATGATGCCAGTTGAAGAAGATGCCTTTCCTCTCCTGGCTGCGTGGCAGGGCCTTCCCTGTGTTATTGGGGTCAGCGCTGGCTAAGGATGAGCTTGGCATATCCAGGCTGGCTGAGAATGATGCCAGTTGAAGAAGATGCCTTTCCTCTCCTGGCTGGGGTGGCACAGAGGGTTGTACCTAAACTGGTACAAAACTGTACCTAAACTGTACCTAAACATTGCCGCCCCCAAAGTGATGTGGGACCCTGCAGTCTGAACTCACCATGAGACGTACCTAAACTGGTACAACCTAAACATTGCCGCCTCCCAAAGTGATGTGGGACCCTGCAGTCTGAACTCACCATGAGATAGCTCTAATCAGCTTTATCCCAGCAGGACCATCTGTGGGTATGAACTGACCTCTCCATCACATCAACATTTCTGATTAACTTGGGTTACCAGCCCCAGGGTCTGCCAAAATTCCTGGCCAAACTGACTTCATGATGTTGTAGGGCAGTGAGCTGGTGGGAGCTGGCAGTGTTCAGTGTCAAAGTGCTTTTTCCTGATGGGGATTTTTGGGCAGCTGTTCCCTTTTGTCTCTGTATGGTGAGTTGCGGATTACAAGGTTGTTTTCTCCTCCTGGTCCCATAATACTCTTGGTCTGAACAACCTTGTTTGTGTTGCTGCAGAGCTTTAACTGCCTCAGTTCCCATCAGAGGTGATGTCTGGAACTCCCTTCTTGCAACTTTCCAGTCTCTGATCCTAACTGGGGAAAGCAGTGGCATCCTGGTGGGCATCCCTGGCCATGTGCAGCCCCATTCTGGGGCACTGCTGATGGGACAAGGGTGGCTCTCACCAGCTTTTCTATCCTAGGCAACATCATTTGTTATTCCTCTCTCCTGTCCGTGCACAACCACTTGCAAACAGCTCTGATCCCAAACATTTGATCCCAAAATCCTTGTATCTTTTCCTGTATCTGGCAACCAGTGGATGTTCATTGGTGAGGAGGAAATAGACTAGCTGACACTGTCTGCATCCACACTCAGCACTGGCTGCTGTAATCCAAAGGCTACAGAGCAGGATTAGCATGGGTGTACAAAACCCTTCCTAATCTGTGAGTCATTACCCCCGCAGCGCATTTCACTTCCCAGCAGCTCTGGGCAGGTGGAATAGGTTGGCTCTTGGGTCTTTGGCTTCCCCATCCTTCTGTTCTGGGAGGACTGGGTTGGGACATCTGCTGGACATCCTCGCAGGACTCTGCTGCTGAGCTGCTCCTTGGATGCTGTACACAGGGCATGTCTCAAGGTTTGTTTCCTCTAACTGCCTTCTCTTTGGCTGCTCCTGAGCCCCTCCTTTCCATCAGTTCTTTTGGGTTCTACCCTTTGCTTTCCTTCTTTTATATGAAACAGGGTGTTCTGCACACCCTGGAAAAAATCCCCTCAGGGTTAGGCTGGGCTGCCGGGGATCCCTGCGGGCTGTTGTGCATTCCTGTGTTTTGTTAGTCCTTGTGTGAGAGGTATTTAGCCTGGCTGAGCTCTCGCCCTGGTGTAAGCTCTGATATTAATAAAATGGCTCAGGGCAAGGGCCCTGTGAGCTGCTCAGCTGCTGTGCCCTTGGTCTGGAGAGCGGTGACCGGCCGGCCCTGCTCCTCTGCTGGGAGCGCGGGGTCTGCGGGCCGTGCACCCAGTCTGCACCCATCAGCTCCTCAGCTGTCCAGCCAGGCTGCAGCAGGTGCCCCAAGGTGCCAAAAGGCTGGCAGCGCTGTGCCCGCCGCTCTGGACTGCCATGGGTGCTGCCGGGGGATCTCACCGCCTTGTGCTTTGTCCTTCTCCGCCAGGCGCGTGCCCAGGAGCAATCGCAATGGCAGCGCTGGTCCCAGCTCGCCAGAGGTGAAACCTGGAGCTGCCCAGTCCCACGTGAGTGCTGCTGCATGAGCTCCCACGCCCTGCCAGCTCCCACGGCCCCCTGACACCCGATGACCGAGCAAGCCATGGGCAGCGTCCGAGTCAATCGGTGAGTAACCGTCCTCTCGAGATGCTGCTGCCCTCAGTGACTGCTCCTCCTCATCTGGCCCCTCAGACCATAACTTCAGACTGCTTTTTGATATATTCTTCTCAAATTACCTGTCAGTGGCTTTCCTGTTCCAAGGAATGACTCTTCTCTCCTTCTCCAATCCAAAACATGCCATATGTAGGGGTAGTGTTTGGAGGAATACTATGGAGGAGAAGCAAAGCACTGCATGGTGCTGAACCAGAAATTACAGATTCCAGCAGCACTGGAGAAGCCACATGTTCCTGGGAATCACATGTTCAGCCACCAGTGCTGTCCTTGCCATGAGATGGAGGCCCATTCTGGGGGACTCCAGCTGACATGTCAACACCACAGAGGGGGGAGAGAGAGACTCGCAGGGTCCTGTGAGGCTGCAGCTTGTCTGGCGTGAGGACAGAGAGTCTTTGTGCTTCAGTGCACTCTCTTGGTTTCCCCGGTGGTCAGAGCACCGTCTACCATCACATCTTTAAGGAGTATCTGCAAGTGTCACGGGATCACATGAGGGGCAGTGTCAGAGCTGACTGCAAGGGAGGGGAGCCAGAGGGGGAAAGGTTTCCCAGAAAGTGTGTGTGTAGCTTCTGCCAAGGAAACCGCCAGTGCTTTGGCTTGGTTTCCAAATTACACCTTTGGCTTTGGATAAGGGATGCTGGAAGACACACATGTTGCTGTGGCAACAGAATTGTCCTGAGGCAGGAAGTGTATAAACATTGTCACCACACACCATGAAATCAGTGAGCAGAGCAGAGGAGAAAATAGAAACTCGCAGCCTTATATTATATGAGGATCAAAATGTGGTCAGGCTGTAGGTGCTTGTTCCCAGGCTTCCTGGCTGTCCCAGCTACTGTCAGGTTTCAAAGCCTTGTATCCCTTCTCACCATAAATGCTGGAAGATACCACAGAGCTACAAGCTGCTGCTGCTGTGCTGGCCTGTCAGGACTTTGCTAGAGGCAACCTCCAGGCAGCAACACTCAGCAAACATTGCAGCGGATGTCCACCAGTGTGGTCAGGTTGGCACCACGGTGCAATAATCACTGAAACGTGCTGTTGTGAGTTCCAGCAGGGTGGTCCTGTAGCCCTGTGAACCACCCACGTCTCCTGCCCTTGCTGTCTCAGTGGTTGCTGTTACCCTTCATGGATTCCTGATGGAAGTGCCTGTTTCTTCTGCTCCCAGGTACAGCATTGTCTCCACCGAAGAGGATGGACACAAGGTCTCTACTCTGGGCAGCATGAACGGGCACAGCCGGAATGGGAAGGGCCACGCTCCCCGGCGGAAGCACCGCAACCGTTTCGTGAAGAAGAACGGCCAGTGCAACGTTTACTTTGCCAACCTGAGCAACAAATCTCAGCGCTACATGGCCGACATCTTCACCACCTGTGTGGACACGCGCTGGCGGTACATGCTGATGATCTTCTCCGCCGCCTTCCTGGTCTCCTGGCTCTTCTTCGGCTTCCTCTTCTGGTGCATTGCTTTCTTCCATGGTGACCTCAATGCGCCGGCAGTGGCAGGTAGCCCCTCTCTCCTCAAGCCCTGCATCATGCACGTGAACAGCTTCCTGGGGGCTTTTCTTTTCTCAGTGGAGACACAGACAACCATCGGGTACGGCTTCCGCTGCGTGACCGAGGAGTGCCCGCTGGCCATCATGGCAGTTGTGGTGCAGTCCATCGTGGGCTGCGTGATTGACTCCTTCATGATTGGCACCATCATGGCCAAGATGGCAAGGCCCAAGAAGCGGGCCCAGACCCTTCTCTTCAGCCATCATGCCGTGATCTCCGTGCGGGACGGCAAACTGTGTCTCATGTGGAGGGTGGGCAACCTGAGGAGGAGCCACATTGTGGAGGCCCATGTCAGAGCCCAGCTCATCAAGCCCTACATGACGGAGGAAGGGGAATACCTCCCACTGGACCAGCGGGACCTAAATGTGGGCTACGATGTGGGTCTTGATCGTATATTTTTGGTCTCACCCATTATTATCGTTCATGAGATTGATGAGGAGAGCCCCCTCTATGGGATTGGCAAGGAAGAGCTGGAGACGGAGAATTTTGAGATTGTGGTTATTCTGGAGGGGATGGTGGAAGCCACAGCCATGACCACACAGGCACGAAGCTCTTACCTCGCTAGCGAAATCCTTTGGGGTCATCGCTTTGAACCAGTCGTGTTTGAGGAGAAGAACCACTACAAAGTGGATTACTCGCGCTTTCACAAGACATACGAGGTAGCTGGCACACCTTGCTGCTCAGCCCGGGAGCTGCAAGAAAGCAAGATGACCATCTTACCTTCTCCTCCACCTCCCAGTGCCTTCTGCTATGAGAATGAGCTGGCACTTGTCAGTCAAGATGAAGATGAAGATGATGATGAAGTGGGTGTGGTGTTAGGGGGCAACACCAAGGAGGAGGGAGGTATCATCCAGATGATGGATTTTGGAAGCCACCTGGACCTGGAGCGGCTCCAGGCAACTCTGCCTCTAGATACAATCTCATACCGCAGGGAGTCAGCCATCTAACTCCTCCAGCCTCCCCGTTCCTCACCCATTGCCTACAGTCTCCTCTGTTCCGTACCCATACACTGGATAATTTCCTTCACCACCAGATAATGCCTCCCATGATTGCCTCTCAGCCCCAAACACACCAAGGCCTGGAGCTGCTCGGATATACTCCCTTTCTCACCAGGTCCTAATGCCTGGGAGAGGAGTGAGGATACACTGCTCTTTCTGGGTACGCAGCTTGGGCTAGAACCCCTTCCCTGCCCAGAGACAGGAGGGCAGCAGGCCTGGTTTCTTGTCTCTGGAGAGGTGACAGGAGTCCCTGCCTTCAGTGGACAGATTGGGACCCACAGCAAGTGTTTCTGCTGCTGAGGCGAGAGCAGACTTTCTGTCCCCTCTCACTATGGGTAGGCCCCATGGCTGTCAAGGGTCATCGCCATCGCTGGGAGAGGAGCAACACCTAAGCACTGACCAGATGAGGATAGAAGGGAGAGTTTGGGACTCTTGGAGGGAGTGGGGAAGGATCTCAAGGAAGGAGTTTACTTGCATGTTTGTTGCTTGTTGCACATGATTCTGTATATAAAAGAGAAGGAGAACTGAAATCGATATTCTCCCACAGCAAATGCCAAGCTAGGAGACAAGGACATTCTACATAGGCTGCTCTGCACTCTCCTTGGCTTTTGGTGTCTGTCACCTCCAGAAGCAGCTCGGCTCCATGGACTTGGATCCAGTTCTCCCAGTCCTCTGGAAAAACATGTCCTGCTCCTCTCCTGAGATACTGGCAGAGGAGGCAGAGCCCTGTGCTTACCACACTCAGACTGCTCCCTGGCGCAGCACAGCCAGATGGCACACAGGTGACCTGACTGGACAGCAGACCCTCCACTTGCTCCTTTTGCCTCCTCCATTCTTCTCCCTGATGCCATCAGCTGTAAAACAGAATTTGTAACTATTTATTTTTAATAAAGTCTAATATCCCAAGGGGAGGTTTGGAAGCAAAGGACAGACTCCAAGGCTGCAGCCTGGTATAGAGACTGATGAGGGTTATTAGGGCTGGTGTTTGCTATTTGTATGGCATTGGACCCTGGAAGCTCCACCACGAGCGCTCTCTTGTTCTGGACCTCTCTGGTAAAGGCCTATAACAAGAGACTCAGAGAATTTGCTCAGGGAGAAGGTCTTACAAATGTGTGTATAGGGAATAGTCTGCATTAAAATTACCAGTAGGATTGGCCAAGCAATATTATTTGCTTTGGAGATAGCAAGTGTTTTTCCCAGGGAAGGGTTATAGATGCATTTGGTGAAGAGGCAGAGATGTGCAAGACATTGCTCTAGATTAAAAAACCCCATTGAAAAACCCAAAGCATCTTTGTGCTAGTGGCAAGTGAAGGGAGAATGAGGGAGGACATCAACCAAAGCTAGACCTGTAATATCACTTTGTTGTCATTTCACAAAAGAGGTGAAAACATGATGAGCATTTTCCTTCAGGAGCAGTAGAATCACCCCTTCATAACTGCAGATGATATTTGAGGACAGAAAAACAAACAGGGAGCTCAGGAAGCTCTGGGCACCCAGTAGCTGTAGTGTGATGGGGAATAGCTGAAGAAGTTATGTTCCACCTAATCCCTGATCTACAAAGCAGAAAAAAGCATCTCAATGTCAACTTGGAATTGGTTCAAGAAGTAAAAGGAAGAGGGGAAGAAGCAGAAGGGCAAGGAAAGAAATAGCAGGACTGAGAGGAAGAAACAGACACGGCAGGCAGATGGTGAAGAAGGAAGGGGAAAAGGGGAAGAGAAAGTGAGGGTAGATGGAAGTGGGTTTGAGAAAGAGCACAAGTAGACTAAAAGATGTCTCTAAGCCCAGACATGGTCATTTCTCATCTTAGGATGCAGGTTTTGTAGGGGAACAGCTGTCCTGCCTGGGTTTGCTCCATTCACTGGAATAATTCCATTCCCCGGAATATTGCCATTCCCCAAAACCCTTTGGGCCCAGCCATGGAGCCAGTTTTCTACCCAATGAACAGTGCATCCATTTCACTTCTCCAGGCAGCCAATTTTTCCAGGAAAAATGCTTTGGGAGACAGTGTCAAAGGCTTTACTGAAGGGCAGGTAGACATCATCCACAGCCTTGATCCCATCCACTAAGCAGGTCACTTTGTCATAGAAAGAGATCAGGCTGGTCAAGCAGGACCTGACTTTCCCAAACCCATGCTGGCTGGGCCTGATTCCCTTTGTGCCACATGTTCAGTACGATGGCAAGGTGAATTGCTCCATGACCTTTCCCGGCACTGAGGTCGGGTTGATGGGCCTGTGGTTCCCCAGATTCTCCTTCCAGCCCTTTTTGTAGATGGGTATCACACTGGATAACCTCCAGTCACCTGGGGACCCCTCTGGCTAGCCAGGACTGCTGATAAATGATGGAAAGTGGTTTGGGGAGCTCTTCCACCAGCTTTCTGAGTGTTCTTTGGTGGATCCCATCCAGCCCTGCAGACCTGTGAGTGTCTATGTGGTGCAGGAGGTCACTGAGCATTCCTCCTGCATTATGGGGCTTCGTTGTGTTCCCTGTCTTGCAGCTGAGAGCACTGAGTACCCTAAGGACAACTGGTCTCACTGTGAAAGACTGAGGCAAAGAAGGCATTCTCAAGTACCTCAGCCTCTACCTCACTCCTGTAGTGATCCTCGGCTCCAGAGCCCATCTACCAGAGCAGTTTGCCTCAAAGCCTTACTGAAATGATGGATTCACTGGATTTTGAGTGGCCCCCATCCCTCCTGGTTCTGCTGGTGCTGGGGCAGAGCTGCCTCTCCTCAGAGCTCCAATGCTACCCACTTGGGAACAGAGGTGCCTCTCTCAGCACTAAATTCGAGAGTTTGCTGGGTTAGGAAATGAAGCCAGCCCCTCCTTTCATTATTTACTTATTTTCCCCTGGGGGAATAAGCAGGGGCTGGTATTGACCTGGCTTTTAATACAGCTTTCAGAGTCGTGTGCCTGCCACTGGCCATGGAAACAAACTAATGGACCGAGAGAGAAGGACTTTGCGTGCGAGGACGCGGGCATTCAGGACACAGGCTGGGGTGGTGGCCTCCAGGAGAGGGGGAACCTCATGGCTGGGCACCCCCTCACTGATGTACAGCATCCTTTGGAGGCGGGTGGCAGTGCTTGGTGGGGATGAAGTGTCCCCTTAGCTCTTGGGAGCCCCATCAATCACCAAGGAGTGAGTGGCAGAGATGCCAGGCAAGGGTGGTGCACCAGGGCCATGGCATGCAGAGCTGCCGTGGTTGGGGCAGCACACAGGTCAGCACTGCCACCCCTCCCTTTACCTGGGGGCCTCTTGTGGGAAAAATGGGACAAGATTGCAACCAATCTGAGGGAAAAAGCGTCATTCAGCCACACTGGCTCCAGCCCCATCCATATGTCTGAACCTGCTGGATGTTTTCATGTTTGGCATCGCGGTGGAGAAGACAGTGAGGCATTGAAGAATACCCAGCTAAACCCCTGCTGCTCATAATAAAATTGCAAGAAAGCGTTCAGTGCTGTCAGATCATTAGAGAGGGGAGAGGGAAGGGGTGGAGGGGAGGGGGCAGAGGGAAGGAGAGGAACAGCCAGTGCAGGAAGACAGAGGTGGTGAGCAAGTTTCTGCCTCTCAGACATTCTTTGTGCAGCTGGTGCCACACACAGCCCCTCCAACAGCATGGTGCAGCCACTCCAGTGTCAGTTCCTGCAAACTGCACATGTGCCCACGGGATTTGCTGGTACACAGCAGCAGGACATCCTTCTGCACCTGCACACTGGAATCCCAGAGGACTCGTGCCCAAATACACACTGCAGGTCCCTACATGTGCATGCCACACGTGGGGGCACAGTCCATCCTACACCACAGCTTCATCCCATAAATACCCAAGAACATTCAGAAAAATGCCACACAGCAGCAAGTGTCTCAACAAGCTCCTCTCTGGCCATATGCTGGGGACTCCATGCAGCCTGTGAAAAGCCACCGGGAGAATCCATCCTGGAAAACTGATGCACAGAAGGCTTGACATTTTTAAGTGTCTGGCAAATCAGCTGTCCAGACCATTCATAACTGTAAACACACTGCATTTTACCTTTTGCACACAGTGTGTGGAGCATCAGATAGGTGATACCTCCTTGCACTCTGCTCTCCAGAGAAGTTACCTTTAATGCATGAGAGGGCATGATGTCCCTGGGGTCCTTCCCTCCTCCAGGATCTGATGGAGGGATTGCTTCCCTAAGACCTGCCTCTAATCACAAGGGACTGGCAGCCTGCTTTTCAGGAGGAAGACACTGCTTCTTTGTTCATTCAACCACAATCTATATTTCTTTCCTGTCTTACTTTTGAACATCTTACTTGGCTCATTATTGAAAGCTATTCAAATACCAGAAAGATAATGGGGAGAGGAAGGACTTTTTCCCTATGAATAAGATCCAGGCACTGGTTCAGATCCTCTACCCCATGACAACTAACCACGCTCTCGTCACTCTTGCCAGCTCTCAAATGAATGTTGTTGTTTGAAATGACACTTGAGAAACTTGTTTCATGTTTTATTTTTGGTGACACTTTTGGACAACCCTTTTGAAAAGAAATCATCATTGGCACCTTCCAACTCACACAAAACTTGCTCAGCAAAACATTTTGATGCACACTGCAACTAAAAATATTTTTAAGAAACACGACAATAATCTCAATTGAGGAGAAAATAGGTTTGGATTTCCATGATTAGGAAATGGTGCTGGAGATGTCTGTGCTTCTGAACAAACATGTTAGGTTTCAAACAGCTTGGTTTTGTCCCAGTTTTGCCCAGGACTGGATAGGGCACATGGCACTGCCACAGCAGCTGTGCAGAGGCTCATGACCTCTGCAAGAATGCCTCCTCTGTGCTCTTTGAGCTTTAACAGCTCTTCTTTGCCTTTGCAGCAGGGCCTCTTGCAGCGTTTGGACCAGCAATACTAAGTGGCCACAGTTTTGAGTGTCACCAAAAAAAAAAAAAAAAAAAAGAAAAAAAAAAAAGAAAAAAAGAAAAAAAGAAAAAAAGTCTTATCTTCCCAAGCCATTAAAGGCTTGCCCCCGCGAAGTCAATGGGACTTTGGAATTGCCCCGTGGTAAGAGCAGAGCTGGGCCCTAATGGAGCATCACTATTGGAAAAGCCCGCAGGGCCGGCCCTGCGCTAAATCCGCAAAGCTGGGATGGGCTGTGGCTGCCTGCGCAGGAGGGAGAGGAGGGGATGCAGCGTGCGGGATGCTGAAAACCTGGGGTGCTGTGGGGCAGCTGGGGCAGCCTCGCCGGCGCAGACAGAGGGCACAGCAGCGGGATGGCGGGCAGGGGAGGCAGCCTGTGCCCTCACCCCGGCCGGGACGTGGCCCAGCAGCAGCTGAGATGGCAGCGGGCTCTGGCAGGGCTGCACGGGCTGCTGCTCCCGCCCTGGTGCAGCGCGGGTGCTGCCCAGGCAGCCGCGGGACGCGGGCAGGGAGCCGAGCGGCCACTGCCGGCCGCAGAGCACCACCTAGAGATGAAAGCAGGGCTGGCAGCCCCAGGATCCTGGCCACACAGAGCCACGGAATCGCTCTAGGGCTGGAAGAGACCTCTGAGGTCACCCAGTGCAGCCCTTAACCCAGCACTGCCATGCCCGCTGCTAAACCGTGTCCCCAAGCACCGTAGGTGCACATCGTCTAAACACTCCTGGGGATGGCGTCCTCTCCACTTCCCTGAAAAACCTGCTTCAGTGTTTGACAGCATTTTCAGGGGAAAAATTTTCCTAATATCCAAACTAAACCTTCCCTGCTGTAACTTGAGGCGATTTCCTCTTGTCCTATTGCTGATTATTTGGGAGAAAAGGCCAACTCCCCTTGCTACAACCTCTTTTCAGGTAGCTGTAGAGAGTGAAAAGGCCACCCCAGAGCCTCCTTTTCTCCAGGCTGAACAACCTTGATTCCCTCAGATGCACCCCACAGGACTTGTTCTCATCCCCACAGATCCAGCATCCTTGCAGCTCCTGACTCCCCAGGCTCACCCAGTGCTGCTTCTGGCCCCAGTGCTGGTAGGACACTGTGGGGCTGAGGCCAACTCTCCAGGCAGTGCCATGGGGCACAGGTGAGGTTCAGGGGAGGAAATCTTTGATCTGGAGTGAAAGTAGGCTCTGAGAGGATCAGCACCCATCA